GTATTTCAAAAAATATTTTTTATAACACTAAATTTAGTATTTTGTTGGAAGTGTGAAAGGGAAGGAAATCTTCAAAGAAAAAATGATACACTTTTTGGATACATGTGAAAACCTAAAGAGACAAAAGAAAAGAGTGTAATGCAAAAATTAACAAAATTTAAATTCTTTACTAAAAAATGAAAAAAAGGCAAAAAAGTATATGTGAAAATTAAAAGAAAAAAAGTAAGTCAAAAAGTAAAAAAAGTGATAAGTTGAAAGTGTAAAATTAAAATTTTAAAAAATTAAAAAAAGTAAAAAGTTGGAAGTGTAATATAAACGGAGTATTTATTAAAAAAAGTGTATGTGTCATGAGAAAAAGAAAAAAGATAATGGACCATACGCCGTACAGCACGAGCACATTTCCACCACTTTCATCTCCTTTGAAAATTGAAGCTAGTTTTGACTTTTTATAAACTTTTTGAAAAGTTCTCATAGGAGAAGAAAAAATATATATAATAAATTTAATATTTTATAATTTTTTTTGGTAAAGTTTTTCTTAAAGGATTTTTCAATAAATTAAAATTAATTTATATATAAGTTAATTTATAATAAAATTATATTAATTTTTTAAAAAACTTTTATTTAACTTAACATAAGATAATTTTATTTTTTGTAAATGTTTTAGAAAATTTTATTCAAACAAGCTTATAACTAACTTTAATAGATGAATGGTATCACATACTTGAATTCTTCATTGTCCGTTGGAGTGACATAATATAAATAAATACCTTTATAAAACCACTTTGAATATGATTTCTTTTTGTTTTGCTTTGGACTAGTTCTCATCCTCTCTTAAGTTTTATTCAAGTGTTAAAAAAAAGTGTATATTACATTGACACTCTTTTAAATTTATAAAATTGCATTGACACTCTTACTTTTTTTAATGCTTATACTTTCTTTACAAATATGACAACGTAATATTCTTCGAATAATTAATAACAATGTAATGTTTAAGGAGTATATTTATATAATTTATTAAAAGTAATTATAATTTTATCCTACCCCACCCCCTATATAAAGAGAAGAAAAAAGAGCATATTATTGAAGGGGCCGGGGCTATGTGGGCCTAAGATAAAATATGTTATGACATAATCATAATCATAATCAATGTGGAGACATCAGGGAAGAAGTACAGAAAATAACAATGTTAACACATGGAAATTGGAATCTCTAAATCATTTTCTACCACTCTATGATATTCACAATAATTAAACAATATAGGAGGAATATTTCTTTTTGGGTCGTACAAATATATGGGAAATTATATTCAGAATCTCTAGTAATTATCAACCTTCATCAATACACAACAAAAATGTAGAACCTAATTAATTAGTTTCAGAGTGGTTAGAGACATTTGTTGAAGTAGAGAAATATAGAACCCACAAGCAGAGAAAAGGTGATTAATATAATATTGACATCAAGATGATAGGAATTTTGAAATATCTCCGACATTATCTCACTAGATTTAGTCTTTTTGACAAATCCAAGCAACTAATGGTTTAATTGGTCTTTCTCTGGTATTTTCAATTGTGTAATAAAGTAGAAGCAACGAATTATTGTTTTTCACAAAAAGGAACAGTTGAACTCGTACATCTCATAAGAAGAAAGTGAGTAGGAAGAAATATGATTGAAAAATAAATATATTTAATTTTTTGTTTTTTTAGACAACATAGTCAAGTATTACTATTTTTTAAATTTAATAGTCTTTTTTGTTATTGTTATTTTAAAGGTTATAAATAATTACATTTACAAGTTAATGACTACATTCATCTTCATTTTATATTAATTTGATAATTAACTAAAATCTATTACCATTGTTAATATAAAGTAAGCTTACAAACACTATACAAATGATTGACACATGTGACAACTTCAACTTTAAGACTGATTAACGAATATTCTCTCATTTTATCACCATTTTTATGTATTCTTTTTATTTTTCTCATATCGTCTTTGTTCTTCTTCCCTGTATGTGAGATTATAATGTAATTTTAGCTTCAATTACATAATCTATATAATACTGTATTAATTTTGAAAAAAGTAAATCAAATATCATTTTTCACCACATGATCATTAGAATTCAATTTGCATTATAAGACAATGTGATCAATTGTCACAATATAACTTAGTAGATTCTTAAAACATTATTAGATTTTGCTACGTATATTTAATTTTTTTTTTTAGATTACGGACAAGTTACATTGTGAGTATATATATATATATATATATATATACTTGCTCTTATCTGTGTGGTGTTGTTTTGTTATGCAGTGTGTAGCGACCAGCTGGGTCGTTACACTTTAGTGGTATCAGAGCAGTTTGAGTCTAGTGGGCACTCTTTGGGATCTAAACTTACTCCATTAAATAATTCATGTTCTACATTAAATTTCAGCGATTCAATCGTTGAATTTAAAGTTTTTAATGCATAAATCAAGTCTGTAAATTTTTAAAAAAATTTGAAAATGATTTGATACTTCATTTCATTAATTCAAATTGACGGATAATCATAAAATTATTTTATATATTGATTTAAATTAATGAAACAAAGTATCAAGATAGCGAGACAAGTCTTCTTACCAATCTTTGTACCTCTTCAAGACATTGAGGACTTCTAATTTTAATCAAAGCTTCACACTCATCTGGATTAGCTTCAATTCCTCTACAAGTGATCATAAAAAACTTAAGAATTTTCCTCCTTGAACTCTGAGGATACACTTTTCTGGATTTAGTCTCATGTTGTGTTTTCTAAGTTGTTGGAACATCTCAACCAAATCATCAACATGATTTTTAGCAAACTTTATCTTGACAACCATGTCATCAACATATACTTCAATATTTTTGCCTATTTGATAACTAAACACATTGTCCATTAATCTTTGATAAGTAGCACCAACATTTTTTAGGCCAAAAGGCATCCCTCAATAATAAAAAATTGGATTGTTTAGTGACAAATAATACTGTGCTTTCCTCAACTGGGAGATACATCATGATTTGATTATAGCCAGAATAAACATTAAGAAAACTTAAAATGGCATAATCTGAAACTCCATCTACTAGTCTATCAATACTGGGAAGTGGATATGCATCTTTTAGACAAGCTTTATTTAAATATGTGTAATCAACACACATAGCTATCTTCCATTTGATTTTTTCACCATTACAACATTGACTAACCAAGTTGTATATTTAACTTCTATGATGAAGTTGGCATCCAATAATTTTTTTGTTTCTACTTTGAATGCTTCTCTTTTTTCTCCACCCATTTTTCTTCTTTTTTGAGCTATTGGTTTGGCTTCTTTGCAGAAGAGAAGGGAAGAAATAAAAGTTTTGAAAGAGAAGAGAAGGGATCCACTTCTTCTAAGAGTAAGTTTATTTAAACTTAATCTATTCAATAACATGTATTTTACAGTAAATCTCAAGATACAACTATGAATTAAAATTTTTTAAATACATAAATCAATTCTGTTTTATTAATTTAAATCAACATATAAAATGCTTTTATGATTATTTGTCAACACACACACACACACACAATTCAAGACTTAATTAACCGTTTACTCCAAATATCCTTGTAATTGCAAGTGTAAAGCAAATCGGATAGTTAAGACTTAATTAAACGTTTACTCCAAATATCCTTGTAATTGTAAGTGTAAAGAAATTCTAATAACTACGAGAAAATCGGATAGTTAGGTCTAAGCCTTTTTTATTTCTATGTAAAAAGAAAAATCCTTTAATGAGTTATAGATAAAAATAGATAAAGTTATGATGATCTAACTCATTTTTAACAATTCAAGACTTAATTAACCGTTTACTCCAAATATCCTTGTAATTGTAAGTGTAAAGAAATTCTACAAACTACGAGCAAATCGGATAGTTAGGTCTAAGCCTTTTTTATTTCTATGTAAAAAAAAAATCCTTTAATGAATTATAGATAAAAATAGATAAAGTTATGATGATCTATGACTCTTTTTTATTTTTATATTACCTTAATTTTGTCTATTTAATGAATGAGTTACATAATGCTAATTTGATTTTTTTAAATTATTTTCTTTAATCGGTTAGGTTTTATGAAAAATAATTATTTATGAGTTGTTATTAATTAATAAAAGTTTTTATTTTAAGAGTTCTTTTGCAATTGTGCTCGCTTAAACTTCTTTTTAATAAGAAAACAAGTCTAAAACAGTTGAATAAATCTAATCGATCTTAAATTAATTTGCTTTTTAAAAACATTAATTAAGGAAGTTGCTATATAAGTTGTTATTTAACTTTTAAATTTAAGTTATTATATAAAATGAAAATTGTTGACTCAAATCTAATATCTTATGAGAAATTTCAAATTAAAAAATTAATAAATATTTTATATTAATAATATAACTAATTAAATAAATTATAAGCATCATAATTTTTTATCCATCTTTTTTTTTTCCATCAAGAGATAAGATGACATTTTGTTGTTCTTAAACATTTGTCAAAGTTTAACTAATTTAGAAGGAATGTACAATTTTTCCTGCTTGAGAAAGCGAATTTCAAGATAGAATTTAGATTTATTGTAGTCAGGAATCTTTGCCATGTTTATGTAATCGGCTAATTAGGATCTTTGGACGAGGATTAGACATTTTACTTTTATTTCAAGAAACCTAACTTAAAAAAAACAAACATTTGAGATGTAGAGCGTCAAATTTCATTTAAAAAAAAAACTTCATTAATTCGACTGTATAAATGTATGAACAGAGATACTTTTTAGTACAGAAAAATAAACTAAAAAATTAGAGGAATATGCCAAAATATGGTTTCACTATATGGTTTCACTGTTAATATATGCATAGTTTTACGTACCAATCAACGTCAAGGAATCTTAATTAACAAAAATTTTATCTTTGATTACAAGATAGTTAACATTTGTCCATGCTCTAAACAGTTACGATAACCCCATAATGTATAAAGTATATGCATGATGGACTCCAACCTAGGTGACACTTTTTTAAGGACACTTTGTCCTCGATCGAGTTGACCATGATGTGTACGTCTTTTGTCTTTGTTGGGCATCGTCATCCATTAATCACAGAGAGAGAGAGAGGAAGCAATGGAACTATGAGTTAAAGTACACAACTAGCTAGGCACATGATTGGTGAACAAACATATACATGTAGCTCTGCATCAATAATTCATATATAGTATTAGGTGACAAATATGTGAAAGAACCTAGACACATTTATGGAACTTCAGCAGACATCGATTAAAGGAAGAAACCCCTGAACTAGCAAGGTTCAGGTTTACCAATAAAAGAAGATCTACACTTTTGTGCAAAAGTTCAAGAAACAATTAATGCATGGAAACAATTGAGCTCATTGATCATTTAAGAGATTCCCCCACTATTAAATTAAATATACTATAAATAGATAAAATTAAATTCATATCTATATATAGTACCAATGTTCAAGCCTCCCATCCTGAAGGAATAATAGGGTTTTTGACTATTTGGCTGCTTGATACCGATGAAGTTGTTGAAGATGGCAGTGAAGACACGAAGGCATCAATGTTGTTCTCTAATTGATTCGCTGCCACTGCTAGATCTTGTGGATAATACTGAAATTTTGCTGTGGCATCATGTTGCTCCTGTGAAGCAGATGAGTATGGGATGGTACAAACATAGTCCTCAATGCTCTCACTGACTAATTTTGGCTCAGTTGGTTCTACTGAGTGACATGGATCGTATTGCTGCAATGGAGTTGGGTTGATGAATTTGTCAACAACATAATATGAGGTGGTGTCACTTTTGGAGATTTGATTTTCTTGAGTTGGATTGAGATGTAGAGGTACATAACCCAATGACCATGTATCTTCATAAGACGATGGAAGAACTATTTCTGGTATTGGATTCTGAATATGAAGGAAATTAGCATTGTAATTGTTAATGTCAAACTTGATATCATTGCTATGATCAAGACCTTGTAGGATTGGGGATGGTGTGGGAACGTAGAGCTGGTCAGGGTGATGATGAAAGTTTAGGATCACATTAGGGTTTGTAGCAGTAAAAGGGAATAAACTTTCCATGGAACCAATATTGCCTTGGCTGTGAAAATCAGAAAATGTGGCCAAAGGTGGAATAGCATCATGAGCAAGTATTTTCTTCTTTATGCTTGAATTCCAAAAGTTTTTCACCTCATTATCTGTTCTTCCTGGTAGGTGTTTGGCTATCTGAGCCCACCTGTACCCAAATTTGAGAAAAAGTAAATAAAGCAACATTTTGATCATAATGTTGATGATGATGCACATAAAAAGAACAACGGGGACAAAGAAAAGTAGAAAGAAAGAAAAAAGAAAAAAATAGAACACGTGACTAATTAACAATGTCAAGATTATACTGAAATAAACCATGGTTATACCTGTTGCCTAAAATACTGTGGAGTTCGATAATGAGGGCTGCTTCTTGAGGAGAGAAACTTCCACGTTTCAAATCAGGTCTCAGATAATTTATCCATCTTAATCTGCAACTCTTTCCACACCTTTGAAGGCCTAGCACATCATGAAATGAACACATAATAAGAAACTCAAAAGTTTTGAAACTCTTGATTCTGTTTAGATACAGGTTTAAGAGAGTTTTCTTATTAATATAAAGAATTTTTTTCAATAAAAAAGTTCTTAGAAACACATCTAATTTGTATGTAAGCTGAGTCCAACGAAGAAAATGAGAGGTAAGAAGAGTTGAGGTAAAATTGTTAATTGTATATATGTATATTACCTGCAAGTTTAGGGACAGAGCTCCAGCAACCATGTCCAAAAGTTGCGATGTAGTTGATGAGTTTTTCATCTTCTTCAGGTGACCATAACCCTCTTTTGACCTTCTGCTTGTTGCAGCAAGAGTGATGGCCCATGTTTTTCTCTCTTATCTCAATTTCTAGTTTCAAAGTACTAATGCACCCAATGGAGAACAATATGAGTTATTTTTTAAGAGAAAAGGTGAGATGTGAGGACAAAGGAAGCAGTATTAGTGTCTAGGTTTTAGCCCAAACTTACAAAGAGGTTGCATTGAATAATGATGAGAAGAATGGCTATGATTCAGAGAAATGGATGATATGAAGCAAAAGTGTGTAGAGTGAGGTGGTGAATTTAATGTAGCATAGTGGACCAGTTATATGGTTTGTGGAAAAGAGCTAAAAGCTGCTATGTCACCCTGCAAGAGTTGTATGCCTTATAAAGGATCCTTCATTGCTCACAGCCATAATGGGTTGTACACGTGTCACACATGCAGCTGGTAGGACCCTATTTGTTGCCAGGTCCCACCTGTTCAAAATTACTGTCTCTTGTCCTTTAATAGAAATAAGTAATAATATATTACTCTAGTCTTATTTATAAGAAAAAAAGTCAATTAATTGAGTTTAATTTTATTAATTTCATAATACTTTTTAAAAATATTTTGGTTAATAGTAATAAAAGAGACCTGTTGTTAAAAAATCATCTTTTTTATTAAAAGAAGAACAATTTAAAAAATCATTAAATAAAATAAAAGTGATTAAAATTTTTTTATATTTAAAAATAAATGTATATAATTTTTTTTCTTACAAGAAGAAACAAAGGAAGTGTCTTTGGTTTCATATAATTTTTTTTGGAGATAATACTATATAATTATGTATTATCCTATCTCTAACAAATCTCAAACTAGTTTTTACTTGACATATCATTTATTATAAGATAAAATAAGTGATACACCGACATGTAATCATAAATTAATTATTTATAGTAAATTTTTAATTTTCATAAAAATAAAAAAATCATATTAACATATATATATATATATATATATTATTTTTAATGTATAATCATTAAACTGTTTTTATAATTTTTTAAAACATTTTCTCTCTGAGTGTTAAGTAAGCCAATGAATTATTTTCCTATTTTGGAGATGGCATATATATCTTTGTCAGTTTTGTCCCTTTGCAAGTGGTAACAATTAGAAAAAGATACATGACGAATGATCATGATAAAGCGGGGTATAGCTTTAAGAATTTATTTGTTTTAATATATATATGATGAGCCATGAGGTGCTAACTACAAGATATATGTCTCTTTTATTGAAAAACTTGCATGCTTGTATTTTGAAAAAGATCTCACGTGAAAATCATTCATAAGTAAAGGTGGAGTTGAGTCGAAGACACACATAGAAGTCAAGACCTAAGTTGCCTAACACAATTAACTACAATAATTATTTTTTCTTACCTTTATGCGGTAATTTCAAATTGCTATTTTCCTTTACGCGGTGTTTGATAGAGGATACGGAAGGGACATACGTTAGGTACGGAACTAGCACTATTAAGATGTGTATTAATACATATATTAAAGTGAAACTTGTAATACAGTGAGTTGCAATAGTGTTATATTACTCTTAATTGTATTATGATGTTAAGTTAAAATGTTTGTGTTGAGGAGATTCATGGGGTCAAATGATCTCTTTTGAGCTTCATTGGTGTTGAGAGAGAGTTTTCTAGACATACCTAATTTGACCATAAAGGAAAGAGTATATAAGGTTTATGTTTTGAACAGGACCTCATAAACTCATTTTCCTTAGGTTTTTAGAGAGAAGGTTTCTACTGTGAACTCTTTTTCTCTCAATCTTCTTATCATCTTCTTCTTAATTCTTTTCTAAGTTTCGTTCTTGTGATTCAGGTGAAGGAAACCTCGAATCAAACTGTTGAATTTGTTGTGGGACTAGTCGTTCTTCTTCTACCTTGAAGTTGAGTTATCCGAGGTAAGGAAAGCTAGATCTTTGTTTCTTTATTATGTGATGGAGTTGTTCGATGATATTGGTGTTGAATGTGGTTTGGATTTCAAATTAAAATGGATGAATTGATGATATTGGTGAAAAGAGGTGTGAGGGTTGAGGTTGAGTTGCATGAAGTAGGAGATGTGATGATTTGAATGTGTGGTTATTGCATGTTGATTTTTGTGCATGATTTAAGTTGAGTAAAAACATTATATTTTGTTGCATGTGTTGGATTTATGCTGGGTTGTAGGTTGTGGCTCAAAATCAAGTTTTACATATGCAGAATTCTGATGTCACGTCGAATGCGCCTTCAAGGTGCCAGGTGTTGTTCTAACTCGAGGTTCTTTGTCTCGATCACTGACATCATGTGTGATGAAAGAGACTTGTTTTGGGTTGGAACTGTATCGGGCATGGTTGAATGGTGCCAAGTGTGGGAGCCTTGAAAGCCCTCTGACTTGGTGACGTCGAGCCTAATGTTGTCAGGTGCCCAGCATGGCCAAGCCAGAGCTTTCTATCTAGATTTCGTTGGGCGTCGAAGTGATGTCTTTAGATGAGACTCAGGTAGAGACTTTTTGTCTGAGATGGGACTAGGCATGGTATTTTACCATGCCATGCATGAGGTCCTAGGTAGGGATGGCAACGGGGCGGGGCGGGTATGGGTTTCATGATACTCGTCCCTGTCCTCGCGAGGCAAACTCATCCCTGTCCCCGTACCCGTACCCGTCGGGTATGTAATTTTCATCCCCATCTCCATCCCCGTCGGGTATCGGGTATACCCGTAACTGTACCCGTCAAAATTTTTTTTAATATAATATTTTTAATTTTTTTTAATTATATTATAATTATAATTAGATTATTTCTTTATCTCATATTATAATAAATAATCACACATAAAAAAATATTAAAATTCTTTAATATAATTAAATTGAAAGTGGATATTAAATTAAAAATGGAAACGGGGACGAGTACGGGTACGAGTACGTGGAGGGTAAGTACATACTCGTACCCATACTCGATTTAATATATCGGGTTTTACCCGTACCCGTACCTGTACCCGGTCAAACCGGGTATTTCTTGTCAAAGTCGGGACGGGTTCGAGTATTACCCATGGGTACGGGTATATTTGTCATCCCTAGTCCTAGGGGCCTTTGCCTTAGCCATGCTGGGCATGGGTTGTGTATCATTGGGCGATGGCAAGGTAATGAACTCCCTACCTAGTTGACGTCAGACGCAAGGTGAGTAGCGCCAGACGCGAGTTATTGAAGTAAAACATGATGGTATGGTTGATGAAATGTTTGTTTTCTTATTATTTTGAGTTGTATATGATAATATGATGAACGAATTGTAGTGATGACGTAGTATACGATGAAGTAGACATGAGTTGTAAGTTGTGTGTTGACTATGTTATGTGTTGACTGTGCAACTATGTTGAAAGCATTATGTATTATTGAGATGCATGTTGATAAATAGTTGAGAATGAGTTGTGATGATTAAGATGTGAGTTAAAAAGTTGTGTGTTGATTTTGCTATTATGTTGAAGTTATAATGAGCTACTGTGTTGACCATTTTGAATTAGAGGAGATGTTTTCGAAAGTTTCATATTCCATTGTGTTGATATTATATTGTGGTGCTCTAAGAGCCCAATTTGTTAAAAAATCCTTCTTGGAAAGTTGATCCTTGAAGTAGATGCTATATTGTTCTCCTCTATGACTTTGTTGGTATTGTGTGTGGGTAAAGTCGAGACACATATGTATGAAACGACCACAATATAGGGGTTAAGTCGAGCTATACTGATTACAAGTGACCAATTGAGTAAAGTACAATGTTGAAAACTTATAGTTCCTAATCGAGTACCGGAAGGTTGTAGTATTTGGAGGATAATTAGTGGGTTAATCCCATAGGAGACTTGGTTAAGCTACCTAATGTTGTGGTATAAGGTCGTACCCAGTTGTTCTATCCTAACATTAGTACTATACTTTCTTGTTTGAGTGGCGATATTTGAGAAACTAAGTTATATTGTGGATTTATATCCAAATTGCTGTTGATTTAGTAAGCTCGTAAGGATCACCCTGTGTTGTCGATTCGGTAGGATCAAACCACTTAAACTGCTCACCTTGTGTTGTAGGATATCTCCTAATTGAAATACATGATGATGCATATGAGTTGCTGTATTGAGCATATGATGTGTTAAAGTTGACTGTGTTGTTCATATACTATGTTAAGTTGAAATGATTTGTGATGTTGTATTGATAGTTAAAATTGTATTGTCTTAATTTATGTGTTGTATATTATATAGTTCAATTGTTGTCATGTTCAAGATGAAATGATTATGTGATATTCTTGTGATGTAATCTAAATATTAGTGTCTTATAGAGAAATTTACCTGACAGCAAAAATAAAATTAATGGCCATATTGTTATGTCGATGATTAAAAAAACAAAAAAGAGATAAACCGTGATTTTCGTATTTGAGAACTTAAAGGAATATGACTCTTCAACTTGGAAAACCTTTCTCGAAGGTTTTCTTTCCAAACATAATTGCTCGGTGTTTGAATACATGCTTTGTAATGATGTTTCATAGACAAATGTCACTCTTATTATTACTAAGAAAATATTCCTTTAAGTTTAATACACTTATATTATTAGTGTAAAAATTTGTAGATTGTCAATTAATTAGAAATAATCTTTAGTTAGATTTTTAAGATATAATTATTATAAAAATTAACACATCATAATTTGGGAGTGAATGATATTACTTATAAAAAATAATTATACTATCAACAAATATATCATTTATTCTTATTATTTTATCATTAAAATGTACGTGTAGGTTGTATAAAGATTTTTTTTACATCATTTTTTAATTATAAACTATCATGTATGGTAAAATAATTGGTTGACTTTTTACAAATACTATATAATATGTGGGGGGAAAATAATATGTAATTATTCATAAGAAAGTATACATATTATACTATTTTCTACATTTTAAATAAATAAATACAAAGATATATATGATTATGTATTAATGTAAAAACTATTAGTGTTTTATCCTCACATCACATGTACACAAATTGCATAAAAGAAGTTAAATATGAATTCCAAACTACACTCAATTTACTCAGTTTTCTTTTAAAAAAATAAGAATAAAATTTATTTGTCTACGATTCATCAAATTATTCAATAATATTATTTATTGTACTTTATATTTTTCCATGTAAACTTAAACTATAATAAAGTAAACTATATATAATTCTACTTATTCGATGAAATTGATGATTGACTCTATCTTATATGAAGTTGTGATTTATCCTAACCTTTTCTTTCATATTTTTGTCGACTCTAGCATTTAATTATAAAAAGATGTATTATTCAAATTAAACTTC